AGCTTCTTTCCACAGTCGTGTAAGTGCGTTTCGGACTGCTCGTGCACCAACGGCGTATCAATCATCGCCTCAATAGGGTTGACCAAGTCGGCGGACGTTGGTGATCGCGTAGACATTTCTCTCTGGGGTTAATGCGTTTGTTCCTGCCGATCATGTACCGAATCACAACCCGTATCACGTGTGGTGATCGCATTAATAGCTACTGGTGATCGTTCTGGTTGTGGTCCTTCTTGATCCTCCTGGTCATCCATCTGGTCACATTTCGGCACACTGTTTTCCCAATCCGCTTCCTATTTATCCGCGGTCATCTGTACCATATCCTGTGGGAGTCATTATAATATGCAATGGTGTTGGGTAAGACTGGCATTCGACCAACGGTCCTTCTGCTTCCAGTACTTCTTCCGCTTCATATCTATCTGTAGAAGCTTCGTATGCAAGTGTTTGCCACTCCTGATAACGACGTGACCCTACCGACACATACCCGGGTGACCGTGGAATCATATCCGCCGGCATCCATTGCCCGAACGGCGTCCTTAGTTGGATAACTACCTCTTTATCGGTTAGGTTAGTTAGGAGGAGGTACGATAGTCTTCCGGGTCCGATCATAGCCGTGGGTTCCCTACTTGCGTGGCGCGTTGACCACATTTTCGACTGCAGTGGTCACCGACCAACATTGACCTCCACTGAGTCACCCACCGGTATCGGTAAATACTTCTCATCCGCAGCAATTTGTTGTATCTTCGCCCCCCATACGGTAATCTCCTACCTTCCAATTGAACTTTGACTTCGTCCGGCAAGCACAATGTTCCGTCTGCCAGGTCAAGGCGTATTCCAGCCGGTACCATGAAATCCGTCCCTAAAATTGTTTCTTGTCCCACTTGGTCACCCACCCATACATCAAAGTCGTAAACTAATGAGCCATTCAGCATGATCTTTACCTTTGTGCGGTCTTCTGCCATGTATGAATTTTCTCCGATACCCAAGCATTCTTGCTTCTGACACTCATCTATGACACAGCCAACCTTACGAGCAAAGGTGGTGTCGATGATTGAGACTTCAACTCCCGAGTCAAACAATATGGTTGCCTTCTCATTGTTGATTTTTCATCCCGCCTTAGCTTGCCTGAAACACTTGTTTGGAGTATGGTACTTCCAGTAACCACGTGATTAGCCAGGAGACAACTTGAGTTTTATCTTTGTAGGTGATCGTGCGTATTCATCCGGTCGCCGCAAACTTGCAATTGATGGAAAAGAACTAGAGTCCAAATCACATACACTAAAATTCCGGCCAGTCAGGCGATTAACACTGTTATCAACCCCTCCTTTCTCAATAAATGCATATATGCATAGCCTAGAACGCCCGGCTCGTACCAGGTTCTAACCTGGAGAGCGTCCTCGTTTAAAATCTTCTCAGCGTCGGGACGAAGCATTCAGGCGTGTTTCGTCGGTACGTACCACTTGCAAAGCATATTATAAAGATTTTTTATCGGGCAGTTGCCCCTGTCGTGCACTTCTTCACACGCTGCGCATCCGTAGAAACACTTGTCGGAGGGGTGACCTCAGCGCCCACATTTCTGACAAGTCAGGCGTTTCCAGCATCCCCTGTCAGCATGTCTTTTGAAACCAAAATGAGTGCTCGACTTGTGCCCTTCTGCACGCTCGTGATCACGTTCACGGTCATTCGATCTTGGCTTGGTCGGATGATTATCTCCCCGGTCCTTCGTATGGTCGGCTGCTGTGGCGCTGTAAACACGTCGTTGTTATAATTCTGATTCTGCACTGCTTATATCTGATTTCGACGAACTGCTCTCGCCCTCCACGTGAAATGTACGCACAGCTCGAGTCGGTTTGGACGGACCGGAGAGTATGGCGCCGCTGATCGTGAGCGGAACTTGCCTGAACTGATCGGGAGATTGCCTTTGCGCTTTTGCATACGTTCATGTGTGTGCAGCGTTAATTCCAGCGTATCCACGTCGTCCAAACGCAACAAGGTCAATTGCTTTGCAAATTCATGGTCATTAAGTGTCTCGACAGAGTGTTCCACGTGTTCTCGACGGTCAGCGACGTTCCCGTCCTTCACGTGGCTTTTCGCTCGCATCCCAGCAACGTTCAACCGACGTCGTGACTGTGACCACTGGTCACTCATCATGATTATGAGCACTGGTCGCCCATAGTGACCATGAGCGGTCAGTCATTCGTCGTGACCCTAACTGGTGGTCATAATCTGTGACCGCTACTTGTGATTTGCAAACCGTCCAGCTTACCGCTGGGGATTTCTGTAGCGGTCAGTCCCAAGACCTTCAAAATCGGTCGCACATGCATTTGCGAGGTTATCAAGGCGATGGATCAGGATTTCCTTTGACCACTTCACCACATCCATGCTATTACAGCAAAAGATCCCAAGCATTATGGTGAAGCGGTCAAGAGCAAACATAATCAAGATTGGGAGAAAGCCATGATGAAAAATTGGACGTTTTGAAGATGAACGACGTGTGGACGATCGTTGTGCCGCCCAAGGACGCCCACGTACTGCACAACAAGTGGGTATAAAGACCAAGACGTATGCGAGCGGATACATAGAGAGATACAAAGCTCGTCTAGTCATCTGCGGGGACGAAAAGTCTTCGGAGTCGACTACAATCTCACCTTCGCAGCGGTGATGGACTTGAGTACGGTGAAAATGATCCTAATGCTTTCAAGACGCCGGAAGGTACCAGCTCGACACGGAAATGTACCCAATGCATACGTCACGGCCGAAAAGGAGTAGCATCTGGACATTACATGAAGTTTCCTGGAGGTATGTTCATGGAAGAAGAAGAGCTCAAGGGTCTGGGAACGAATTCAACGAACGACTGGGCACTACTGCTGAAGAAGTCACTGTACGGACTCAAGCAAGCCGGAAGACTCTGGAGCAAGCTACTCGACTCCAAGTTGCGACAGATCAGCCAAAGACAATGCTTGATATACATGTGCATGTACTTCAAGTATCAAGGCGAAACATGCACGGTGGTATGGGTGTGGTGGAGTGGCTATCGCTCAATATATGAGTCGATGCCAACTCTCAACTGGCGCCCGGACGACCCGCTAACGGAGAGGTTACTCCGATTCCGTGTGTGTTGCCTTCCTCACCTTGTGTACCCGTCGGTAGGTCGGGTTGCACTCTTTCAGGTGGACTCGTGTCGAAGGAAAACTTGACCGTGTTGGGGATGGGGTTGTGATCGTCCGGAAATCTCTACGCGATCACGGGGTGCTTGTGGGTACTGATATAAATTACCCTGATCTCAACGAGATTGCCTTGTCCACTATGTGGTTGTTTGATCCGCGAGCCTTCTGACCACTTGAGCCGTCTCGCGATCTTGCGCCTTGCCTTTACGTGTCTCGCTGCTTCCGATCGCAGTTGATGTTGCTTGAGAGTTTTTGAACACACCTGGCCAAAACAATCCAGGTGTGACACTTGCGTAGACGTGTAGCGCGACTCTTTATTCGACGGGGGCCAAAGATCCTACCCGGAAGAGATAACGTGTGCCTTGTGAGTAATTTGAACTCTGTTTAATGTTAACCAACCAACCTAAACGCTACCCCTATGCCTATCCGTATATCCTAACCCGATGCTACGCGTCGCCTTTCCATGAAGATCGTCCCCTCGCTTTGTGGTCTACACCCAGTATATCAACCGTTGCATCTTCTTGTGAACCAACCAAGATATCCCCATGATCCTGCTAGCGGATCGTGATCCTACTAGAGTGTCGTGATCCTACTAGGATCGTGATCCTACTAGCGGATCGTGATCCCTCTAGTGGATCGTGATCCTACTAGCGGATCGCGATCCTACAAGAGTGTCGTGACCCTACTAGGATCGTAATCCTACTAGCGGATCACGATCCTAGTAGAGTGTTGTGATCCTTCTAGCGGATCGTGATCTTACTAGCGGATCGTGATCCTACTAGGATCGTGATCCTTCTAGCGGATGTGATCCTTCTAGCGGATGTGATCCTACTAGTGGATCGTGATCCTGTTAGCGGATCGTGATCCTATTAGCGGATCGCAGCTGGAGATCGGACTTGCGATCCTGAGTTAGGATCGCGGTCTTCCAGTGAGATCGAGGGTCTTGTCTTGCCATGTCTCACGACGGGTTGCGTAATCAAAACGGGTGTGACCGCCCTATAGCCTCGTCCCAGGCTGGACGATCCTGTCCACTTGGGGTTTGGGTACGCTATTGCCAGCTACCCGTCCCAGCTTGTATCCACCAATCATAGCATTCTTGGCTTAACTGAAGCGCGCGACCCGTGCGATCGCCAATCCAAGTCCCAATAGAAATTTCCTTGTGACCGCTTTGCCACAACCGCCCCCTCCACCGTCAGTCAACATACAATGTTGATCTGGCTGTGCAACCTTGTCTGTTCTTTTCCTTGTCACGCACTTTCGCATCTTCTAACACGATGTCTGATCCAGCCCATCCGGATCAGGTATCCCCTCCTGCTTCAGGATCGGGGCCCCTCGGATCGCTTTCTATTATCCCAACTTCAGATGTCGGAACCTCGACGCCTACCAGTCCTGCGATCTCAGACGCCTCCACCGTGCCGGTGACCGAGTGTGATCGCTCGGCTGTGGTGACGTCGGCCCAGATGGGGGAAGGCTCTGGTTGGTTTTTCATCGTGATCCCTCTGTCGCGATCCTCTTCGATCCCCGCTCCGGACAGGACCTCCGCCGGCCAAAACGTCCCAACTTTGGATCCGAGTGAGCCCATCTAGCTCCCAAGTACTCGGATCGAAGCCTCGTGTTTGGTCGATCGAGCCACGTTAAACGCAGCGATTGATTCGCTTTACCTTCTCCTGAACCTCCAACAGAGTGACGTGGATCGGTACCAGAGTATGGAAGCGGCTTTGGAACAGCAGATGATCCAGAATCGCCAGCTAAGTGAGGACCTCTAGGAGCTCCGCACCTCCGCGTCCCTTTTCGTCCAGTTCGTCCAATCGAAGTATGACCGCTTACGCGTTCGCAATGAAGACAAGGTCAAGCAGTCCGAAGCCTTTTATGAGACGTGGGCCGACCGGGTCGACCAGACCTTCTTATTGAGCATCTGAAATCTAAAATTCTCCGGACTGTGCGAGCACGTCATGCTGCACAGGAGAATGCCGATCGTGAGGTCGCCGGGATACGTAAGCAGCTGGACAAGGCGGGAGAGCGGTTGGTGGCTGAATGCGGCAAGTTGTCCCACAGCCTGGACAAGGCCAACAGCAAGAAGTCGAAGTACAAAAAAACCGGCCTCCATTTCCAAGAGAATCTGAGTCGTGCACTCAAACTAGTAGCTGGGCTCCAGGCCGACCAGGAAACGCTGTGTCGCGCGCTCAAGCAGGTATCGGGGCTTCAGGCCGAGCTGGGCGAGGCGCAGGATTCTCTATCCGCCCGATCCGCTAATTGTGATCAATTGCGTCGCATCAAATCGGATCGTGACGTTTCGTTGGACCATATGCGGGTTCGGGTCGCGGACGTGGCTTTAGAACGTGATCGCGAATTGCGAGATAACACGACCCTTCGAGATCGCATGGCGTCGCTGGTGTCTGGGGATACTTCAGCCACACCGTCGAAGGTGGGATCGTCTACCAACACGCCCGTTCCCGCGACTCCTCAGCCGATGTCGAACGGTTCAGGATTGAGTCGCAAGCGATCTCGCGATCCCCTACCATCGTCAACTTTGCCGCCTTTCAAGAAAGTGACTCGATCCGGTGTGTCTAAAGCTAAGCCGTCCCCAGTATGCGATCCCAAGGTTGCACGATCTGCAACTGCTAAAGCCAAGCTTTACCCAGTTTGTGATCCCAAGCCTCCGTCCCCTATCAAGGGGGGAATCCGCGATCCTGAGGGTCGTCGCGATCTCAATAATCGACATGATCCAGCGAAGTCTGCAGCTAGCCCGAAACTGGTCAAGCAAAGGCGCCGTAGTCCGGGCTTAACCTCGTCTGAGGGAAGGGATAAATTGGCAGGTGAGGATGAGACTTTAGTGGCTTTATCCGGTTGACGATCCTCCAGTCGTTGCCGAGCGTCCAATCCGGCGGCACAACCTTTGGCTGGGCCTTCTCCGGATCCGATCGTCATAGACACGCCGAGCCCTTCGCGCGATCCTCCACCTCCGGTTGGATACTGTTATTCCTACCGTGACCAAAGTAGCTCGCGCAGACCTTTTTGTAGAAGTGTCCAGCGACTCGGATGGTGCCATCAGCCTTTCTGATTCGCCTCGTGATCACGTCAATCCGATGTTATCCCTGGCGGATTGTGATAGCTTGCCCCCTACCAAGGTCTCTCGCGACCAGTGGATCCCTGGAATTAAGATCGCGTACCGCGATCGTTCACTCAGGTTTCTCTTTGGTCGGCACGCTAGGTCAGTTGGACGAGCGTCGCGGAGATGGACACTGACTTCCTGTACCGCCACATATCCCGTCCCAAAGGCTATATCTTCCCGACAATAATGGTGCTCAAGTGTCCTCCTCCCACATCTGGGTGGACACCTCGGCTGGCGTGTTCGTCCCAGATCGCGGCCTTATACGCCCAAAAGCCTTAAGAGACAGATACACGTCGGATTGCGCCGATCTCCTTCCCTCATACCGGCTCGTTCGACCAGCTCGCCTCTCTTTACTTGGAGTTCGAAGATCGAACCCGACAGGCTTTGTGGGAGTCGAAGCACGCGATCTTCCTTTGCAGTGAACAGCGGGCCCAGCGATCCTAAGCTGGACCAGTTCTGGAAACAGCGAAAGCAGCGTAGGTCGCGAGCAGGGCCTCGGCGGAAGGCGATCCTTCGATTCATCTTGCAAGGTATGATCGCAGGTCATTTTGACCTGGACATTCAGTTGGATCCCTTCTCTCTTCACTTCCCTTCTTTCATAGAGATTTCCCCTTGATATCCTGGCCTAGGATGCAAATTGAAGGGCATCCCCAATTTGATCGCTGCTCTCCCGTTGCTGGATGCCGCTGAACCTTGGCGTTCCCAGTATCGATCCTCTATCGCTGACCACCCCGGATCATCGATCGTACGATTGTCAGGTTAGTTCTTTACTGCTTGATCGCTAGGATTGGATTCAGATAGTTCCATAATTCAATTTAATCTCTCTTGATCCTTTATCTTGTTCTTCATCATGAGATCAACTTCTTTTCTTCGGCTTTACAACCGCGACGAGATCCCTTCGATCCGCTATCGCCACTTATTTTACGTATATACCCTATCCATCAATTTATACAACCTCCTTGTATATATGCCCATACAACATTTCACGTCCACCTTTTATCATGCGCCAACCGCTCATAGCTTCGATCATCCGTTAATCTTCGGTTCGTTTCATATAGGACTGCATAACTTCGAACCGGGTTTTGACCCACACGGTTGCGCTCAAAATCTTGCAACAACGCGCCACAATTCAGCTCCGCTTCGTCTATCCAGGTCGGATCGTCGTGTTGCTTCCATTGTTTCAAAAACTGTTGATGCACTCTGCCATAACGAGTTTTACGTCCTGATCGTACATCCAAAATTTTCTCCACTTCGTATTCGTCAGCAGCCAACTCGTTTTCCCAACTATCTTTCCGCAACAACGACTCATCGAAATCCACACGATCCTCACAGTTATTCACTAGCACACTGCCAGGGCGATCGGGAAACTGTACTACTGGCTTCAACTTCTGACGCGCACTATCGGGAACAACGGTATGGAGTTCCTGGAAATCTCCACCCGAATAGCATGTTCCCCACATAACTCCGCCACTCGGAACGGTCCATGCCACATATGTGCTAGCATAGCCGTCTTTGACTCGGTCCAAGTAGAGCCAAACTTGCGATCCGCACTTAATATTACACACTTCGTTATTGTCATTGTGTAGATCCGCTTGATCTTGGATCTCGATCTTGAGACGTTCGTTTACCACTGCTCTTGCCCTCTGATATTGACGTTGGACGTTGTATCGTCGCCTTATGGGGTCAGCATCGCGTGTTTTAGTGCTCCCCAACAGTAATATTGCTTCCAATGTCGATCTCGGATCCCAGCCATGGATCAAATAGAACGGAGTGTCTCTACGGATCCGATCTTGTGCCGTATTCATAGCGAATGTCAATCTTTCTGCATATTCATCCCAGCCTTTCTGTTCTACGTCCGTGACGTACATCTTAATCGACCGTGTCAACGTCTGTACTACACGCTCCGCAGTTCAGTTCGCTTGCGGTCGGTATGCCATGGTCGCACGTTGCTTTTGCCCTGCGATGCGATTATGTGCTCGAAAATAGTCGGACATAAATCTAGGCTCGCTGTCGTGACGTATAACTACACTGGCTTCGAACCTTCGAAACACACGTTCTTCATTTCCTTCAGCGACCGTTTGCGCGGTCCTCGACGAACTTGCTCTCGCAATCACATATTCTGAGAAAAGATCTACACACAGCAGCAGCGCTTTGTTTTCTTAAATTGACCGCGGCAATGATGGAATATGATCCATTGCAACATCTGAAATGGGTATGTAGCCTGTATGTTTCCTGGGGATCTGCCGCGGATCGCGGGTAGACCCTTCCCGGTTGTATAGTCCACGCATTCGCCAACATAACGTTGTATACTCCGATACCATCCTCTCCAGTGAAAATTGGATCTGATCTGCTGATAAGTCCTTCCGATCCCCTGCTCGCCACCCTCTAAGCTTGTGTGGTAATGGTGCATAAAACCATGCTGCAACAATTCCGGTACAACCAGACGGACCATCTCTATACGATCGTCTGACACCTTAGCGGATCGGGGCTGAAGAACGGCAATCCGTTTCCGTACACTTCGTAGTCTGGAGCGATCCGAGCGCACAATTTGCATTTACTGCGTTTAACTGGGTCAAATCGCCCACAAGATATTCCTTCAGGTTGGAGATCCAGCTCTCTTCCTTTTGCGCCTGTTTATCCGCTCGATCCGCATCCGCTGCACTATTTCTTTTTGCAAAACTTCTGGTTGTTGACGCCTTCGCCGCGCGGATCGTGTGATCACATCATTTTCACCACGCGATCCGTCCTTTTCGACAAAAGCAACTCGTGCAGACTGTTGAGTGATATCAAATCTTGCAATTCTTGATTTAAGTTCACAAGGACACCTTCCTCTTGCTGCAATGCTGCACTCGCTAGTCGATCCGCACTTTAGTTCCATTTCCAAATACCTCTTTATGTGTAGGAACTCGTGTTTTGGCTAAGATCGAAGTTTCTACACTGCTTTATAACGCAATAAATGTATCCCGGGCGCTTTACAATCCATCTATTCCCGCATTTGCCTGATCACTAGGTTCGAGGCACCACATATAATGACTTGTCCCCTAGTTTGGTTGTCCAGCAGATCGAGCCCCAACAACATGCCACGATATTCTGCTGCATTCTCTGTCAGATCTGCCGCGTATTCCGAAACGGCTGAGATGATGGTCTATTCTGGTAGCTTCCCCACGATCGCAATATATGCCCCGCTCTTCCGTTTAATCCATGTGGATCCGTCGAAACTGACCACCAACAGGCATTCATCCGTACCTACCGTGGGAGGTAGCATAGTTACCAAATTTTTAGGTTTCTTTTGTGGAGCGATCGCAAACGACACATCATCTAACTCATCTCGCGGAGTTACACTAGCTGCGAGAGCGCCTAGTATTTTCTCTTCTCCTTTTTTACATCGCTTGAAATTGAGTGTCCAATTCGATAGCAGCGCAGTCCATCTTCCCAGTCTCCCACTGAGGCCAAAAGTATTAATAGCCAAGCTAATGTCGAACATCGAGTAAGAACCCTGATCTTTCGGGATACAAGCATGGTGTAGCACAATTCCAAGATTTGAAGTAGGGCTAAAACTTCTTTCTCCACCATACCATAACTAACTTCATTAGGCTTCAGTGTGCGACTCGTGATTGTCACCGGCCAATATACGCCGTCATGTTCTTGCAATAAAGATGCCAATACTGCCCACTTACTAGCACATACCACGATCACTGGAAGTCGATCTGGATCGAAAATTTTGCGGATCGGGGTTGTAGCAATCTTAACCTTCAGCAAAGTGAATGCAATGGCGGCCCTTTCCCACCGAGATTGCTCATTTGGATCGTGCTCACCCCCTTGTAATGTGTTATCGCAACTTCCCTACATCGCATCACGATCTCCCATATGGCTTATCTTGAAAAATCCGCCTCTCGTAACTCGTACAACACAGATGCATATACTGCAAAATCTTCTATAAATGGACTGTAATAGTTCAAGCTACCCAGGAACGATTGCATGGATCGCAAAGTTGTGGGAAAAGAATTGTTGACCAGCAATCCTAGATCTTTAGGATCGGCCTCCAACCCAGCAAAAGATACCCGATGACCTAAGTAATCCACCTTACGCCGTCCTCAAAAACACTTGGTCATACTGATCGACAAATTTCATCGATCGCATGCTGTCAATAATCTTTCGAACTTGTCGTACAAAGATGTCCATGACGTAGCTGTGGCGAAGTCACTGATCAAAATTTTGTACGAGGATCAGTGGCCACACCTTCTGGTGAAAAAATCCATGGGACCTGGCGATCCAATAAGGAGATGGAAGGCGATCTCAACGGGGATCGGCGATCCGATCCAACTGTCGTCAGACTGATGGGTATGAAACGATCTGAGACGGAGCGATCTGGGACAAGACGACAAATAGAACGATTTCCATGGAGCGATCTGGGACAAAGATCTGGGACCAGGTGATGTGATATGACTCTGTGACGAAGGTGTAACATCCTGCAGATCGGTGACACTCTCTACGGGTCTCCCAAAGGGAGTACTGATTTAGGTTAATTATGGCCCGACCTAGAAGTGGGGATGTTTGTGGGAGTCCGTGGGACCGTTGTAAGAACTGTGGATGGTCCCATTAAGCAGATAAACCCTTGGGAATGGTATCGAAGTACACACAATGAACGGAAGAACATGTATGGCTGGATTGTACTGTGTCGATCCTCAACAATCTCGATTTGGGCATCAGATCGGTCATGTTCCCCACTGATTATGGATATATCGTTGATGAGAGTTTTGGATCATGACAAACATGCTTGTTGAAGGTCCATGAGTGATGCCTCAGAAGTTCAGATCGAAAGAGCCAGCGGAAGCCGGTTAAATTGACGTCGCAAAATGGATTTAGACACATTCGGCATTTGGGCACTATTTCGGGCTTTTGGGTACCAAAATGGGTATTTGGTACCATATTTGGGAGTTGGTCCTCTTTTGGCGTTTAGGTACGTTATCGGGGATATTGGCGCTATCTTTGGAGTACAGATCATGAAATTTAAACTCGTGTTCAAGGGGGTGGTCAAGCTTGAAGGTGATATCGACTTGGAGAGTGACCTATAGTTGGGAATAGGCTTAAAGATAGGTTGGCTATAAATTTGCTTGGTCAATAAACAGACTTGAACTCTACTTCTTCTGCTCACGACACACGTTCTCCTCCCCTCTTCTCCAGGCAAGATTGATTTGGCTTCTCGGCGGGTCAAGGCACGCGTGTTACAAGGACACAGAAGACCGATCTTGGATTGTTGGCCAAGATCGAGAAGAGCGATCCGGGATATCTGGCCCTGATCGATCAAGTACTCACTCTCAACTCAACTGCTAGGGTAGCAGCAACAAAGGAAAAGAAATTCGGACACAAGATCGCGAGACGGGTCAAGTTGTCAAAAGATCTGGACAAGGCGTTCAAGACTAGACCAAGCAAGATTGAAGTGATCCACTAAACAGATCGGCGTGTTATATTTTGGCGAAACCAAGGACCGATCTGCCCAAATTGCGCACTTCCAGCAAGATCGGCCGATCCCAAGTCAAGATCGACGCAAGACTACTATCTGCTGAGTTAAGATTTACGCACAGCAAAGACCCCGATCCCGAAGACAAATCGAGATCGGTGCGATTCAAGATCGAGATCGCGACATCTTTAACTAGAGATCGCCGCGACTCGAGATCAAGATCGTAGAACCCATGTTCGTGGTGTGAAGATTTCCGCACCGGAAGCGAACTCTCAACCAAAGCTCTCAGCGAGATCGACATCTTCCAAGGCCGTTACGAAGAGCTCAAGCCAGCCCAACGACGGGTACACAAGGAGAGCACAAGGTTATGCAGAAAGGCACGGATCGAAGTAACCCCTCCGTGAGTCGGCAAGTCTGGGCAAGTGGAACGTCGACACTCTATAAAGTAATTTTGTGAGATCGGCTTCACCACATAGCCGCGATCAATATATCGTCAATATAAGATCGCCTGCCCAGCACTGACGGCGCCTGATCCGTTTCCGGCTCTCCCTCAGTAAATATATCAGTTAACTTAGGATGATCCGTTGCATCTACATCCTTAATTGCGCCGATCATGAGATAACCATATAGCTCATTATCAATCAAACGCTGATAAATCTGTGGGGTGCTCTTCAATCCAAAAGGCATCCGCAACCAATTAAACAGACCTGACGACGTGATAAACGCAGAGATAGATCTTGCTCGTTTGGTCATCTCTACCATTCAAAATCCACACGACATGTCCAGCGAACAATACCACATTGCTTTGTCCATGTCCTGCAACAATTAGCCGATAAGTGGCATAGAGTACATCATCAGCTGTGTTAGCTGATTAACTTGTCGATAGTCGATACACATTCGGATGTCTTCTCCGTATTCTTCATAATCATGACTATTGGTAATGCTTACGGCGATGTCGAAGGTGGGATAATCTTGGCTGACAACAGGCCTTTTATCAGATCGGCCAACTTTTCACAAAACTTTGGCGCAACAGGTCGTACACGCTGAGCGATCGGCCTCGCCTCTCCCACATCAATATCACGAACGGCCCCGCGTTATGCAGGGGGTATTGCATTTCCTTTCCCGATCAACAGGTGACGACTCTTCCGTATCAGTCGTCGCAAATGCTCTTGATCCTCTGTCAAGGGTATTACAGGATCGCCAACCTGGACATCGTCTATTGTTATCTCGGTCGTGGATATGGTTACCTCCAGCAGCACAGCCATGTGTTGTTCCACATCTTCCGTGAACAGTTCACCTCCCTTGTGGTAGTATGTTGATTCATCCGTTACATCATTTTCCATTACTTCGACGTCGATCGTAACAGCTTTCACTTCGTCATCCAGTCGTGTAGACTGGCCATACACCTCCCGAACTTCAACCTCGATCCTGTCTGGGTGACAGTTGGTTTGTCCTTGTAGCGGATCAGTTATCTCGTGGTCGTCTTTCGGTGTCATAGCCTCCTCTGCAACCATGTCCTCTTCACCTGAAATTTCTGGCGTCTTCTGCACTGCGTTGACCGCACACAATCTCATTGTCGATCTATCATCCTTGTCTTCGTTCTTTCCACTCGTACATTCGTCCTGCAACTCCTCATTAGAGTCACCATTAGAGTCGGATAGTGAGGCGATCTCTGCAGAATTCTTGATGTCGTCTGATTTCCGTTTTGAGTGTGTCAAAGTTCGGGTAGGTTTCTCATACGTAGGATGATCCACTAACGGTCACGTGTAGGCTTCGGCTTCTTCTTCTTCTCGATCTGTATTGGCTTCAAAAGCCATTGTCTGCCATTCCATGTACCGCCGCGATCCTACAGATACGTATCCTTTAGATCGCGGGATCATGTCTTCTGTCATCCACAACGCTAAAGGGTCCCCGCAGTCTAAGATCATGTCACGATCGCTTACATTTGTAATCTGCAGGAACTTAATCCTTTCGGGACCATTTGTCACAGTAGAAATCCACGCCATATCCCGTCGCACCCAAAGCTTAGATGTAGGAGAGTTGACGCCAATCCTGACTTCTGCCGATCTGCCAGTCGCAATGGCTATATGTTGATCGTTAATGTTGACCGCCGATTTATTCGATCGGTACGGTGGTCTTCGTCCAGCCAGACAGATTCGAATTTCATCGGGCAGGCATAAGGTTCCGTCGGCCAAATCCAAACGGATACTGGCAGGAACCAAGAAGTCCATGTCTAGTATAGCTTCTTGACCGACTTGATATCCAACACATATATCAAAATAATACACTGGTGATCCGTTCAGTGTGATCTTGGTCTTGGTCCGTCCTACCGTCATATAAGTACTCTCTCCGATCCCAACACATTCTTGTGTTTTTTGTTCGTCTATTACACACCCTACCTTAAGAGCAAAGAAAGTGTGAATGATCGAGATACCGCACCAGAGTCAAACAGAAAAGTGGCCTTCTCATTGTTGATCTTGCCCACTACTTTCGCTTGCTTGAACCATTTTCTTGGAGTATGATACTTCCAGTATCCCCTCGACTCACCTGGGGTGAGATCGAGCTCTATCTCCACCGGGGATGGGGCATAATAGTCCACTCGCTTCACAATTGAAATTATATAGGTCCTGTTTGAACGACCTCATACGAGAGAGATTGGATAGCGCCGATCCTTAACTCCTTGGTCATCCGACTTCTTCTCAACAAATGCATGTATGCATAGCCCAGAACGCTCGGCTCGTGCCAGATTCCAACCTGGCGAGCGTCCTAGTTAAACACTTCCTCGACCTTTAGAGGAAATATACCCGCATGCTTAGTAGGCACATACCACTGGCGGATCAAGTTGAAGAACTCTTTCATGGGACATTTGCCATTCTCATGTACCTCTCCACATGCTGCACACACGTAGAAGCAATTGTCCGATGGATGCCCTTTACGACCGCACTTCTGGCACGTTAGTCTCTGCCAGCATCCACGATCATCATGTCGCGTTGATCCGCAGTGGGTGTATGCCTTCAATTTTCCACCTCGATCACGTCTATCTTCTTCACCAGTATTATTCTACCAGGTACGATGATTTTGATCCGATCTATCTTGACCAGATGTAGTGGTCACACAAACTCGGCGGCAATCCTTGTCTTCATCCGATCTAATCGAGTCCGATTCCGATCCGCTACTTTTGATCCGCTCACGGATTGCCCTCACTGCCCGAGCAGTCTTAGATGGCGTAGGATTTGGGGAGGCATTCGCTAGGTGGTGGAACTTGTTCGATCTTGTCGACGTCCTCAACTGACTACTCTCCATCCTTTGGCATGCACGTAACGTCTCATCTAACGCATCGACATTGGCCAATCGTAGTAGGGTCAGCTGCTCGTCTAGATCGCGATCGTCCAACGTGGCAATGAAATGTTCCACATGTTCACGACGCGCGTCTGATGTGGCCGTCCTCTCGTCTTTGATCGCGATCTTGGCATGCTTAGCCGCGACGTTTAGGCGGTGTAGATACTACTGTAGATTTTCATCCGATCGTTTCCGTGTGAGATAGTATTGTCTGTCCAGAGACAAACCTTGCCCACCATACTGTATTATAAACTCATCCAGCAATCTCTTCCACTTCTTTCGAGTGGATCGACCTAGTTGGTTATACCAGTTTCTAGCGAATCCTGTCAGCAGATCTCCGAACATTAAACACTTCTCCTCATCGGGTGCTTGATCGCGCAAGAAGGCCGATTTGACCTTGTTAATCCAGCTTCTGGCCCGATCTTCATCTCGATCCTTGCCACTGAATTCTTTCAGCTCTGTCATCGCCGCCAGTCGAATGCGTTAAGGTATGCTACCACCATCTTGCATTGTCTCGGTCGTAGCTACCATAGTGTGTTTACGATCTTCTTGTCCCGAATCATCGGGATCGATGTCGTCAGAGACGAAAACCTCCGGTTGACTGATGCGCGACTGCACCGATTGTATCTCCACATCAGGGGTATATCTCTCACGGGATCATGCAGGATTGATCCTTTGGCTAGGGTAGATCGCTTAATACGTTTCGTTACTGTTGATCTTGGTGAAAAAGTTCCATGGCCTCATCGAGGTATGTCTGCAGGAGTCCTTGCGTAGTAGTCGTCATCTGCTCTTTTGCGCCTGTGGCCTTCGATAGCGAGTTCAGCTTCACCGACTCAACTCGATCGCGTAAATGTGTTCCACCACTTGGTCCTAGAGACATTCGCTGGATGCCGACGGAATCGTCTGACTCCATCTCTGATTCCGCCGAGGCATATTTGTGACGATCCGGTATGATACCCCCTCGGGACATCGGCAATCGTGGCAACTGCTTGATTCGCGGATTCGCACTTCCCCGTCAGAGGAATTAGCTTGTCATACAGCAATCGACACGCATGGATCACCTGATGGTGCTCGCATTCCAGCAGTTCGTTTGCATCGAACGCCCCAGCGACGTACCCAGCATCTCGTTGCAGCTGAATGATCGCGCTGATCCCTTCTACTGCGTTAGCCGCCACCTTCGACCGGGAAATCAGGCCTTGTATCTCTCCCATTAGCTTAGGATTCAGTATCCGTAGCACGGGGTCGCTCAACAGCAGATTCTTGAGCGCCTTCCACTGGAATCCCTGCGCTAGTTGATCCAACTGCCAGCCTTCTATCTTCATATCCAGAGCATCTTCCACGGGCTTGATCGGTTTCACGATCGCTTTCATGCCGCGATCTTGTCGAAGCGATCCGGGCTCTTCTTTCTTCACTCGATCTGTCTTTAATCTCTTCTTCTTCGACATTGCCTGAGTGGTCTTGTGTAGTTTTTGTTCAGTTTTAGCTGAAGGGTTTTCACCCAGCGGATCGTGTTTTGCAGCACGATCCGCAGTCGTCCCCAAAAGGACCTCAGGAGGGATTTGGGGTCTATCTTCCAGATCGATTGATTGATCTTCCTTCTCTAAATTTCTTGTCATCAGAGCCCCTCCCAAAACTCTGATAATCCGGGAATCCTTGATAATCACGCGTCGAAGGCAAACCCTTAGCCTCTAACACTTCCATCCCAGGTTCAGTCTTGACTTTCACCCCTTCAATTAGGGACTCACGGTGAAATCCCAAATCTCCAGAAGATCCAGGCACGCGCGTCATTGTAGTGGAGTGGCAATCGCTCATTGTGTGAGTCGATCCCAACTCTCCACTGGCGCCCGGACGACCCACTAACGGAGGGGTTACTCCGATTCCGTGTGTGTTGCCTTCCTCACCTTGTGTACCCGTCGGTAGGTCGGGTTGCATTCTTTCAGGTGCACTCGTGTCGAAGGAAAACTTGACCGTGTTGGGGATGGGGTTGTGATCGTGCGGAAATCTCTACGCGATCACGGGGTGCTTGTGGGTACTGATATAAATTACCCTGATCTCAACGAGATTGCCTTGTCCACTATGTGGTTGTTTGATCCGCGAGCCTTCTGACCACTTGAGCCGCCTCGCGATCTTGCGCCTTGCCTTTACGTGTCTCGCTGTTTCCGATCGCAGTTGATGTTGCTTGAGAGTTTTTGAACACACCTGGCCAAAACAATCCAGGTGTGACACTTGCGTAGACGTGTAGCGCGACTCTTTATTCGACGGGGGCCAAAGATCCTACCCGGAAGAGATAACGTGTGCCTTGTGAGTAATTTGAACTCTGTTTAATGTTAACCAACCAACCTAAACGCTACCCCTATGCCTATCCGTATATACTAACCCGATGCTACGCGTCGCCTTTCCATGAAGATCGTCCCCTCGCTTTGTGGTCTACACCCAGTATATCAACCGTTGCATCTTCTTGTGAACCACCCAAGATATCCCCATAATCCTGCTAGCGGATCGTGATCCTACAAGAGTGTCGTGACCCTACTAGGATCGTGATCCCTCTAGCGGATCGTGATCCTTCTGGTGGATCGTGATCCTACTAACGGATCGTGATCCTTCTGGCGGATGTGATCCTACTAACGGATCGTGATCCTACTAGCGGATCGTGATCTTACTAACGGATCGTGATCCTACTAGTGGATCGTGATCCTGTTAGCGGATCGTGATCCTATTAGCGGATCGCAGCTGGAGATCGGACTTGCGATCCTGAGTTAGGATCGCGGTCTTCCAGTGAGATCGAGGGTCTTGTCTTGCCATGTCTCACGACGGGTTGCGTAATCAAAACGGGTATGACCACCCTATAGCCTCGTCCCAGGCTGGACGATCCTGTCCACTTGGGGTTTGGGTACGCTATTGCCAGCTACCCGTCCCAGCTTGTATCTACCAATCATAGCATCCTTTGCTTAACTGAAGCGTGCGACCCGTGCGATCGCCAATCCAAGTCCCAATAGAAATTTCCTTGTGACCGCTTTGCCACAGGGGTATACGTTGACGATTTTCTGGTCACGGGGACTGAGCTAATTGCGGTCGGCAGCTTCTTCACTGAGATGGCATGCTTATCGTTAATGGACATGGGTTTCGTAAGCAATTTTTTAGGATTGCGCATTAAACTAGACGAGTCAAAGCGATACATCTGGACCAACAAGTGACTATTGAGTTGTTGTTGAAATAGTTCGGACTGGACTCGGCGAACGGAGTGAGGACTCCGATTGGGGATGAATGCAAACTCGAAGATGAAGATGTTCACGAATTTCTACCAGCGAGAAGTACCAAAGAAGAACCAAGCGTGAAGTCTTTCCAGTCGATAATGGGAAGTTTGCTATGGATTTCAAGGTGCACGCGACCGGACATTTGCTTTGTGGGGCACAAGGCAACACGACAAACGCACAAACCGACGACCAAGGACTGGAAAACTGCAAAGAGAATCACGCGCGACTTGAAGATGTCGAAGGATTTGAAGCTTCATCTGGGCGGCGATGTATCGGCTTCCAAGGACATACTAGTCGAGTGCTGGAGCGACGCAGAATTAGCGGTAGACAAATCGAAATCTTCGTCTATAGCTGGTTGTATTCTGACCATGGATAAATCTGTTATCCTTTGGTTGTGCAAGAAGCAGTCTGGTGTGTCGCTGAGCACAATGGAGGCAGAGTTCATCGCAGCATCTCAAGCTGGACGCGAGCTGCTGGGGATGAAAGGACTACTAGACGAGTTAGAGTTGAGCGTCATCAAGACGATGCCGATGTGGATGAACAACCAAGCGGCTATCAAGCAGATCGATTCGGAGAGGAGTACGTCGAGCGCCATGCACGTAAACATCAGGTTCGAACTTATCTGCAACCACTCGAAAGAAGGGATTGTGGCTCCAAGGTTTGTCAAGTACCAAGACATGATGGCCGACATCCTGACGAAGTCGCTGCCGGCACCAAGAATGGAAGAACTGCGTGCGATGTTCGGATTGAAGACAACTCAGGATGAAACCGAGGAGGAGTGTTAGAAATGCCTTTTTAGAAAAGTCTTGTTTAGTCATCGTTATGTTACAGGTTCAACGGATATAACATGTGACGGTGACACCGGATTGGTCGTGTCTGCAAACTTCTTGACAGATGGTAAGACGAGGCTACGAAGGTGACAGATGGTGCGACGAGGCGGCGACAGTAACAGGTGTCGTAACAGGATGGTAAGGGACCAGGTGGTGGGACGAGGTAGCGATATGACCGTTGGACGACATGGCGATGGCTTGCAAGAGAGGAAAGACGGACGCAATCATGTCATGGTCAAGTTGCGGTGCACGTTATCTTATAGTGTGATGCGTACGAAGTTAACACTTTAATACATTCACTTCTACTTCTACCTCTTCGCACACAAGTGCATAAGATCAACCACACCCAAAAAAATTACACAAAAGTCGTCAGATACATAATTCCCTTTACTCAGGAGTATTCTCGTTTGAGTTTTTGTCCCTAAGAAATCTTAAGAATTTTTAATGGTCATGAGTTACGAGTTATGAGTTAAAAGCCATTGAACGAGCATACTAAAACACAATTTGTACGAGCAATTTAAGCTACGAGTCATCCGAGGATTGACTGTACTGCCAACTGCCATCTGAAGCACAAGCTGCTCTGGGTGAGTGGTGTCACACACGCTGAAAAATTTCTCGTCGAATACGGATCGAAGCAGAATGTACAATCTGTCGAGACGCCCATGTTGGGTGCCAGATGTGGCTTCAGGCTACGTTGTTTTTGCGGCGAAGCTAATCGACTGGCATCTTGCCATCGAAATTTAAGCGGATGCGTGCGATTGCTGCCAAGCATGCCTTACTAAGATACGTAAATGTCAAGTACGCTATACTTTGGATAACGACTAGTACATAATACAGTATCGATAACAAGCCTCTCTGGCCAAAAGAAAACACTTCACCAGCAGATAGAGTGTCGAGGATGTGATCAAAGTATAATAGTCGCATACCATGTTCAAAGTATGCGAACGAACGAAGGAACGTTGGTGCACGACATCCCGAATCCTTCGTCAGCGAGGTGCAGACCTGGCCTTTGTAGACCAGCCTGGTCTTTTTAATGAGTGATCATGAAGATTGAACGCAAGCACACAGAGGCAAAGGTAGTGTACAACAAAAAAACCATAAATAGAAGAAAGCGCGCCGTCGAGTACGTAAGAACTAGCGGACAGAATATATGAGCGCTGTCGATAGGATCTGTTGCCTAACTACAGGTCGCAGAGTGCAAACCTTTCGCACCATCGTGATCTGCGACCTGTAGTTTATGCGGCTCTGGCGAAATGTATTGGAGCAGTGTTTCTTGAGAAGACCTCTCTTTGCATGGAGCATATACCAATGCACACTGAAAGCAGCGGCATTCCTCATTAAAAGTCGGTTCCAAATGATTTTGCATGTATACGATCCTGCTGCATGAATTGATCTAACTATATGCATAAATTGTCCAAGTTTCAACAACGTAGCGCTCAATCTGCGATGAGCAGTTCGCATGCAGGCACGATAAATGAGCAAAAAGTTGTCGAAGCGACGTTTCTGTTAAAGCAGCCATGGTCTGGCGTAAGCCGATGCATTTCCGCATGCTGCCGAATTGCGAGTTGACTGCCGCCGGACAAAGCTTATGCCTTGGAGTAAAGTTACTTTGAAGTCAGCTCAGTTTAGAAGCGAATTAATGAATCGTGCCTATTTTGTCGTATGTTATGCCTTCAAAGCTGTTTTGAGTGTATGCGTCAGACTTCGTACCTCATTTGCTCATTCTCTCAGTATTCGACCAGGAGTCACCAGCGACACCCGTTGTCTCTGTTCTTTGCATGCATCCTCCTTGAGAGTGTCGTGCAATTAAAAGCCATTCCCGTATGGGTTGACGGTGCGAATGTGCTGGTAGTGGCAAACGTGGGTTCATTCTCGGTCTTTTCCCCGATAAATTTGTTCCTATCTGCCTCTTCGCAGAACAACACTTCGAAGATAAGAATGCAGCCCACGTCTCTGACGAAAGGGCAGACAATTGAGTAAATCTTATGGTCGAATGGTCTGGCTTTAGCAGGTTGAAGATTCACTCAAGCAAACTTGCCCATTGCAGTAATGCTATTGACATGGTGCTGCAGGTCGTGCAGGTCGTGTTATCAGAAGCAGGGATCTGATAGTACATACATACGTGGCTTTGTAACGAGGTAGCTACAAATACACCTTTATGTTTCATTGGCTATTTATTTAATTTCAAAATAATTATTTGCGATCCCGAAGGGTGGAGCTACGAGTGACTGTGAGCAAGGTTAGATGTTGAACTTTGATATCGTGATTATCTATGTGTGGAAGCATGTGACGAACGTAGTTAGGTGTAGCTTACCCGTACTCAGTGCTATCTGGCCTATCCCAACCACATAAGTAAATAGGTATAGACATAGTCACTCTTTCATTGGACCACTTTTGGGACCCACGTACGGGATTAGCTTAATACCAATTAGAGTTGAGTATGATCACATAAGCAAATACTGGACGACAATAATCGAAGGCTGATCTCAATGCATGAGTACACTTGTAGTTTAAGGTATACGTTAACATCATCATACTTCTCCTTTAGTGGCTGCTGTTGCTGTATGGTAATTTACAACCTAATTCAGTTCTTAAACTATAATTATTTGTTGATATAAGGGCGAGCTTTAGAGCTTGCTCTCCCATCTTAGATTTTACACATCACACCGGGCACCGGTCGCTTGTACTGACAAAGTACAAGCTTTTTACAGTACGCACAACCTTAATAGGTGCATCAAAGCTTCACGTACACGTATATTGAAGAGGAAGGTTTTGATACGAGGTAATGATAAAAAGAAGAAGTGCATTCTGCATACTTAATCTTCTTTTGATGAATCCCATTTCGGCATGTTTAAACTATACGTGAATACACATATAATAATCTGCTCACCAATCTATGCGTTCTTCTGTCGTGTCTAGGCTTTTTAGTTAATATCATTGACATGTATTAAGATAACGTTCGTTGTTAAACACGAGACCATCCACTATTTACCCTCCGTCAGGCATCTCTTTCTGTATACGTAACAATCGTCTACATCACGATCAGCCATCATATCTTCACCTCTTATGGTGCAGCTCACGATATCAAATTTAGAGTTGCTCCCGCGTCGGTCCTTCTCGCTGGTCTTTGAATTGCTTTATGTATTGCTGCATACATAAATATAAACACTACTGATGCAATAAATCCTTATGCCCCTCTCATCACGATACCATAGAGTTGCAAAGACCTCCGCCTATTCGATACATTCGGGAGTCAAAAGAAGCTGCCTAGACCGTCAAGCGCACGCTGTGCGCTAAGGTTTGGCGCATAAAGATTTCACACATTATCGCGCGGCATTAAGTGCACTTTTTGCTTGCAAGAAAGGATAATCAATACTTTCACCTTCAGGTAATGTAGTTGCAAGAATGCGGACCTAAACCTGTTGCAGTGTGTGTGAGATCGATATCTTTCTTAATAAGAACTTTAATGACCACTAACTACATACGCTTAGAGAAGCAGGTTATCGATCCATGTACCTCTCGCATGCTAAGCGAGCGCTCTACAATTTAAGCTACGCCCCCAGAAATCCTCTGTTTGCCCTTATACAAACAACACTCTTTACGCATCGTTGACTTAATACCATGCTTTACCACAATCAGCAGAACCCTGTGCTGCATCTATACATACATGTGACGTTAAACGAACAATTGATCCCGCTAAACAATTTTTAATCAACTGCTTGTCCAAACACATAGGACGCATTACAGTATGAAGCTGCTGGTATTACTGGTGGCGCGGCGTGTACCGCGAGAAGGAGACACTGTAAGGACCACCTTCGTCCAGATGCATCAATCTATATCTGCGGCACAGTACCGCGTACACATGTGGTAGTGTAAAATTTATTTTAGCACGTGACATACCTTTTATTATAGGGTTACTGGATCATTTCAAGAGACAGAAACTCATAACTATAGCAAGAGATTATATCAGGTCATGAGGAAATGACCACTTAAAGTGAATATACCTTGTATCTATGGTATACAGCCCTAAAATTTAATCCATGCCAATTGATGCCGTTGATACCCTCAGTCATATGTTGATGACACATTAAAGCAGTACGCATCAATCTTATAGGATACTATAGACTTCTATGAGAATAATTAAGCTTCGTATCAGTTAGTTGTGTGATACTTATCACTGAAAAAATTTCAAATACGAAAGCACTTCTCCTTTTGATATAGTGTTGACATGTGTCTTGCTTAAACGTCGGCAGATCGTAAAGAGTAATAGCCTGCTTGGGGCACATGATCTAAAGCACTTTTCGCGTAAGATTCTTGGAATTGTTGTTAGTTACTGAAACAGGACTTAAAAGTGTACGAGCTTGAATAATCGGGGAGTGTTTGTTGATTCGTTCAAAAAAACTAGATGGTCTTTAAATTTATAGGAAAATAGTTCCGTAAAACAATTAACATTAAGATTAGTAAGTCTTTTTTTTACTAATAGCTGTATTACTTCGCTACACTTGGCAGCACTTGGATTAAATCCTATATCGTAGCTGTGACGGGGTTCCTCCATAACATGATATCTCACGTATGGTAAACATCAAGTTTGAATATCGTTAAAAATTAGAGAAAATACTCTTATCATTTTAGCTTAATACAGGTAATGGTGTGATGCAGCAGTAATACACTACTCATTGGTTGACATACATTAACGATATCAACCAATAAAGCCTAGCCACAACAGAAGAATGCAGGGAGTGGTAAGCAGATAATTACCACAGATGTTTTCACATATAAATCGCTAAAGAAAATTTTATAGGATTTATTGACAGAATATTATTTATACTCAATACACTAAATTCAGTTCTACTTAACCCTTATTTCTTTTGAAACCTTTTCAGTACGATGCGTTTACGTGAGATTTCGCGTCAACTTATTACCTGTATTCGGCGTAAGTGGATCGTACCTTAAAT